GACTTGCGGAAGATGACACTACAGATCTTATGTACGTTATTCCAGCGGATCGCGTAGCTCTAAAAACTACGATGCAAGCTTTGGAAGGGCTGAAAAGTTCATGCCAGATGACGGAAAAAGTTTGGCACATTTGGCAGTCACAACACCTTACGTCCCTTCAACAAAAACACCAGCGGGAGGTAGGAAAGAAACGGGGATCGAGTTTGACCCCTGAAGTCGGTAAGATGGTATTGATCTGTGATGCTCTCCAATCGCGTTATCAGTGGAAAATGGGACGCATTGTGGATCTCGTAGAAAATGAGGACGTAGCTAGAGAAGCTGTAATATTACTCCCGTCGAGTAGGAAGATTAGAAGACCGGTGAATCTGTTAGTGCCGCTCGACCTGAGTGATGATGATAGCTTTTCAGAATCTCTTCCAACGTCGACTCCAGCACCAGCAGGGACGATACTTCGGAAACACCAGAACCTAGGAACATAGGAACCCATCCGGCTGTACAGGCAGCTTCGCGTTATAATCTCCGACCGAGAAAGATGGGGCAAAATAGGGCGTAGCGCGCTCAACACTGACCACAAATATGGTTTGTCTGGCTATCATTACTATGCTGATCGGTTTCAGCTTCGGAGCAGACATCCACCCCAATTCGCGTAATGGACGATATATTCGTTGTATCCAAGGCGGTGTTGAACTTACGGAAACGATCAATTACCATATGAGGTCTGTGTGGAAGCTTACTGTACACACTACGAGTTGCCCAATATTACTGAGTCGGTGAGACTCCCACCTCGAATAATACCTCATGAACATGACGTTCAATGGAATTTTTAAAAGACACTTCGCTTATAACGATAGAAACAACCTGTCCTTCCGCACCATTCTGTGACAATATCGAGTGTACATTTTGTTTGACATTTGTGTTTAACTCGAAAAGCCGGCCGGTAGGAGCCATCTGGGTAACGGCAGTGATTTTCGACTTCGTCATTACAGGCTGTTACAACTGCGCGAAGGGAGCGCAGGCGCGTATCATCTGCACATCATCCCGATTAGCACAAGCAGAAATTGTATGCAGTGATGCGAGTTTTGTCATTCCCTGCAACGTAGACGGTGTGGAATCTTTATTACGATTTAGCTTCACAAAGGCCCGCATAAATGGCCGATGTTCACTTTCGTGCGGACCCGTACCGTCAACATTCGAAATAGGCGGAATCTTGAAATTTTCGCATTCTATAGAGGGTATGGTAAGCTCATGGATCGAAGGTCGAACAAACAGCTTCCAAGGCATCGAGTTCCTCGAAGTATTCCATATTGCGGACGTTGTCGCTCAGTGGTATAAGACCCTACTCCTTGCAACAGGTGCACTAGCACTGGCATGTTCATCGTTACATACATCTCCATATGGACCTGGGGACCCAAAGTTGTAATGGGAGTTCTATGAGCAGCAACTTCCGACTGTTTTTCGTACCTGTTTTCTTTCGCACGACACACGAAAAATCACTATGAGCGCACTTACCTTTAGTTATATGTCATGTCCAGGATCAACATCAAGAAATTAGTGTCGCGTCAATGATCCAGCTACAATGGAGTTGTATTGTTACAAATCAGACCTTCATTCTCGGAACACAACCAGGTGTTCCGAGAATGAAACGAAACCGAAAAATCGAATCTTGGCGAAGCAAATGAAAGGCCTCATTCTCACAAGAGAAAGATTTTCGCATATGGGAACACGTTTCATCTATACGAACCGCCACTACAAGGAACTCGCAGTATCAAGGAAGATCACAATATGCGAGAAAGAATGGGATTGTCAAGCGGAAGGGATTCTTCTCCAGTTAGATAAGAACATGTAACGATTCACGCTCCTACTCCAGGAAATGGAACAGGAAATGGCACAGGCGGAAAAGGATTCGAAGGTAGGTCCTTGACAGACGAATGCTCAAAATATCAACCAACTCTTCCTTAAAGCATTCGACAACCTGAAATCCTCAGAACGGGACGATGCGGAAAAGCGTTTCGAAGAACTGCAGAAGAAAATAACCGAGCAAGCAGCGGTAATATCGCTTTTAGAGCAACAGATTCAGAAGCCTAATCCAGATCTCGCACCGTGCCCAACAGATGTAGAGATGACCAGTGGGAAACCAGTGGTGATCGCGTACCTGCACAAGTGCCTCCAGAAGTCCAGGAGGCCCATGGAGATCGAGTTGTTGAAGGCGTTCCTCTGCAGAAGTCAAACAGCAGCGAAGATCATGAGGAGAGGGAAGCTCAGAATCGCGTATCTTCACATGAAAGCGAGCCCCGTCCACCGTCAGCAGACACATCGACAGACAGCGACCATCCAGGACAAAATACGAATCTGCACGAAGACGAGACGCTGATGAACTGAGACGACTCATCGAAGATCTGCAAAGACATAGGAAAAATGGAATCTCAGTTGCCAACCTTTCCCTACAGGAAGAAAGAGCACTACTCACAAGGCATAAGACCCATAAAGAGGTGCGCGTTTTGTGATGTCACCGGAGAGCATTTCTCCGATTCCTCCCCTCATATCACGGAAGGAAATGACCGATGGAACATAACACAAGATCGCTTCATCTGCCAAAACTGCTTAACACACTGCGGAAGGAGAAACCGATGTTTCTATAGGACAAAGCTGTGTTTCTTCTGCGATCGCGTACGAGGAACACCCTTTGAGTTGCTTATGCCGAAGGACAGCGGGCATCATACAGCTTTGTGCAACGTGCCTGATAAACGAGGGGACGCACGCTTGCTTATCGAAGATGCAAGACAATAGCTACGGGATCTGCTCGGCGAGTTGGCAGCGGTAACGATGGAAAGACGACGTGAGTTGGAGAGGAGACAGAATGACGACAGATCGCGTAGCGCGGATAGAAGGCAGGATGACGACAGATCGCGTAACGCGGATAGAGGCCAGGATCACGACAATCGGAGGGAGGAGAGATCGAGAGAGGACCGACTTGTGCTGATGGACTCAAGAGTGGCTGTAGGAAGGATAATTAGTGATCGCAGTTATTGTCATCGATGTTGTATGAATTTTTGAAGATGAATTTTTTTTCCGGCCGAAGTGACGACAACAGTCGTCTAATCATAAGGTTGTAAGCTAATAATCTCTGAAATGTGTAAGTATAGTAAACTCTTTAACTCGAACAATACAACAATCCATATGAACTACCGTAGTCATTGCATTTATCGTGGTATGTAACTTTCTCTAACATCAATCAATAGTGAGTTTAGGAGCTCGACGGAGCTTTGTTGCGGATCGAGGAGGCTGAATGCGGGCCGCACAGTGCTGCGTCCGGTCGCCGCATAAAAGGGTGTCTGCCAGAGAAGCTGGTTCATTCGCGTTTCATCATTTCGCGTCTGCCATCAGCTTCTCGCGCTACGCACTACTCCTTAATCGTTATGTAGCTCTTTCTTAGTGCTTTAATCCGGATCTTCCGGAATACGCGAATCATTTACAGGTTCGCGTATTCCGGAAGATTAAGGGTTTATTGTAAGCACTTACATTTATATATTCCTTTATAACATATGCACTCGCGTTTTATATATGTATCGTATATTTTTATTATTACACTTACTAAAATAAAGGTCAAATTACCCAAGTTTGAGGCCTTCTCACCGGAGTCCGCGTGGCGACCAAAGTGGTTTACGGCGAGCAACAGTTGACGTGAGAAGGACCTCATACATAACACTACGAATAGTTTTGTATTTCTTCCTGTTTAAAGAAGTTCATTCTGATGAGCAAGCCAATTAACGTTGCATCCGAATCAGATTCCCCACCAAAATCAACGCCCCTCAGTGAAAAGAGAGAAATTTCCAGTAAAATGGGAGAAAATTTACAAGGAAACACATAAAAATGTTTGCAGTATTATTGGTAAATTATTTGCATTATTGTTGGTTTATAACCTCTAGTAATAATATTCCACACCCGATTCCAGTCAACCTTAAAAAGTACGAAACTTTCACTTTGTTTATCAAAACTTGCATGAAAGCTTGTCCAAAGAGAAGAATGTAAAAAAATGTCAAGTAAAAAAAGAAAAGGGTGGTTTAGCCGAAAACGAAAAACGGAACGTTTTGGCGACAATGTCGCAAAACTGTTTAACACGTCCTACTATTCATTTGTGTATAGACGACCATACATCTGTTGTTTGATGCTACCCTACTACATAAAATCTGTTAAGTTAGTCCGTTGGTGCATGTGTGGGTGTTTGACCCGAAATTCATAAATTCCTGTGATTTAGTCATAGAGAGTTCAAATAAGGGTAAGGGATATGCCGGGGAAATGGGAACATTATTGATGGGCTATAGGAAGTAATAACAATCGACAAGATTCGATCGCTCACTAATTGAAAACCAAATCGAAATTTCGCTCGAAGTATTGTAAGACTTTCCCTTCCACCTAAAAATTCTCTCGATAACTATTTTATGGGACTAGGTGAGAGACTACTGCTTTAAAAAATGGCACTATTAACCATTCACCGCCCGAAACATCCAGAACTGAGCCAGTTTTTTTTCTCCGCGGACAGCTTTGGCTCAAATATTGTTTCCTGGGTTGGATTGACCTCTTGAATACGGATATCACATTGGTTAGCCCGAAACTTCCTCGCGCCCGCGCCACAGGCTCCGGCGATTTGAGGCGTTTTGACGCCAGCGCCTGTAGCGCGGGTGCCAGAAGATCTCAGGCCAGGCGGATGTTATATTCGTGTTCAGGAAGTCAGACTACCCCTGGGAACAAGTTTTCAGCGCGCGGGCCATGATGTTTCGTGCCGAGTGGATGTAAAATCCATGTTCAGGGGGTCGAACTACCCCATGGAATAAATTTTTAGCCAATTCTGCCAACGCATAAAAAAGTCGGTCAGGAACTATGTCAAAAATGATAGTTTCAGATAGCAGGGTTATCTTATGTTTATTTATTACACTGATTCATCGGGTGAAAGATATTGTCGTGGCAAAATAGATATACACATTCAGAAACAATAAAATGAACTAACCACTATCGTTGCTATCAAGCGCAATTGATCGGTGCCTCATAGAGACTTTATGTACCAGGTTGTAGGTGCTACGATCCCTGACTGAGTCGCCACGTCGCACCGGATTGGGTCTCGGTGATAATGAGAAGCCTTCAAAAGATTTCACCAGGTGAAGTGGTCAGAAGAAAAGCGAACAATCATTGGTAAGACTTACTGTGTCTATCAGTTAAGCTTGCGTCACTGGGCAAAGTAAACTGGATCTTTGTTTCAGGTTCACCTAGAAGGAACTCCCCACTGTTATCGTTGAACTCCAACTTGCTTACTGCAGTAGTCCGGAAGAAGTCCGATAGATTCCTCATAACGATTCTGAATCATTCATTTGCTGATGAGTAAAACAGTAGGTAATAAACAATTGTTCTTCACCTGGCTCCACCGAGATAGCCGGTATTAATCTTTTTGATGGTGCCCAATACTGTAGATTTCATGAAACGATTAAGAGAGATGTTGGAGAAGTTTGATAAACCATCCTGAAGAAATGTATGGCTCTCGGAAAAAAAACTGATATCGTTGACTCTGTACTGAGTTGCCGCATAATCTTTGTTCGATTTCCGACAGCTTCTGCGCTGCATTTTTCTTCTAATTACCATCCACCACACATTACAATCACCAAGGAGATAACTTATTTGTGGTCAGTCCTCAAGAACTTGAAGGATGTAATCGTAGCGGAATGAGGGAACAGAGCTATTCAGAAACTTGAGATTGTGATTTTTGAGGTAGTCGCAGTGGTAATTTTTTCTCTCGCCAGACACTGCTCAAAGTGCGAACCAATTAACAGTGCTAGAGTGAGGCACCAGCACTACACGATGCATGTGTCATCTGGCTTCAGCCCGGACCTTCTGATATGAAGCGAGTCGCTTCCGCACAGTTAATACGTTGAGCACGATGGCAGACAATGGTGGCTGACAGCCAGTCTGTCTCATGGGACGATGGCAGACAATGGTGTCTTCCACTATATTGTTCTAATAAGGTCATCAAATTTGCAGAAAACATGTCTCCTAGGCTATTTAGACCCCCCTTAACAAGATTATCATATCCACTTAACGCGTTAACGATTATTTTCGTCAGTGGTACAGCCAATTTGTCTTGTGAGACGGCGTCACCCAATGCTGTCCGGCAGTTATTAGGCGCTGTTTGTCGACGGGAGGGGGGGAGCATTTCGTACTACCACTGCTCCCCAGGTTCCTGTTTACAAATGTCACTCTGGTAAAACTTGTGAACGCTTGTGAAGCTGGACCAAGATCGTCTAGACACCATCCTAAAAGTGTAAACTCGAAAAAGGCTACCTAGATGGGTTGGCACATCTATGGAAAGCAGAATGCCCCCTCATCTACACACTGCGCCCAGTTATTGTATAATCAAAATCTGCGCGGTTGTTTCATTTTCTTTCTGAAAAGTCGAAGATTTTCAGGTCAAGAGGATGCAATATGAATCTTTAGGAGGTGAAACTACCCCGGGAGACAAAATTTCAGCCAAATATGCCTCCATAGGAATTCTTAAAAATAGCCTGATGGAAGATTGGAGCGATAAAAGTGAATTGTGTCAAAGATTCGAGATTCATATACTCGTCTCTTGCATTACTTCATACAGTTTAATCATAGTCCTTCATTTATTAGAAAATTACTAAGTTTCAACCAAGACAAATGTGCCGTCCCACGCGCAAGTCATGAGAAAATTGGCTCATCGTCACCGTGTCAAAGGCAATTACCGCGACCACACTTCATAGGCAATACAGTTCAAAAATAGAAATGCCGTGTGATTGTTGACTTATTGAAGAGAAGGAACCACGAAAAAACGCCCGCAATATTACCCTCTTAATTTCAATTGATCATGATCACCGGACGAGCGTGAGGTGGTCAAGATCAATTGTGGATTGCAAAAGGCGGCGAGACACTGATAAGAGACGAGAGAGGCCAGAAACTATGGGCGAGAGAGCGCAATGGCAATGTCACAACGGCACGGTGACCGGAGGCCGGCATGGGCCTATCAGGCGCCAATGGGCCTAAAGCATGAGCGCCGTGCGTTCTGCTTGCTGTTTTTCAACTTTTAAAGCAGCATATCCTATGCTGTTGCCTGCTCGATCATCATACACGTTTATGAGGTTCTAGCCTTGTTATCGCGGAACGTGCCTTCAAGAGAACAGTGGCGATAGTTCCTTTCGAGCGCCTCTTACACACAGTCGTGGCCAAGTTTCGGAGCTGTTCCGCGTGAGCAACGGCACTGACTGCCAGCTTATGTTCTAGCTATCCTCATAATGGGAGAGTTCCAAGAAATCGGGACATTATCCACAGACTTCGGACTGTGACTGGCATCGTGAGCCGCAGAGCAACATCTTGTAACTGTAACTCATCTGTAACTTGTTCTCATTAATCAAGCTCTTTTCTTCCCTGAGTGCACCCTAGGCGGTCAATCAAGGAGTTTTGCAAGTAGTCAAGGATGCTGTACCGACGTAGCTCACCAATTTCTGCGGCGTCCATCAAAATGTCTCTCCTTTGACCTGATCCATTCAGATGAGGAACTATGTTGATATGGTCGTGCCCAAGGGTCCGCCAAACCGCTACTAGCATTTGAATGCAATGGCAACCCACGGATCAGGGGCACCCCTATAGGATCGAACACACGTCGCGGAATCCGCGACCGGGGTTTTGAATTCGGCCTCTCTCGGGAGGCAGGTCGCATTTAGAGGTCCGTACGGAACACAGCAGTGACATAGTCTGCAGGAAGGGTGCGTTCGCAAAAGAAGTCGGGCCACTGCTGTAGTTCCTACTCACTGCATGAGGGGAGGGTGTGACCTCTGTAGATGAAAGTGTGGACTCTGTAGGAAGAGTTCCTTATACTGCAGCTGAACTTCACTTTGAGAGCTAAATTCGCGATGGGCGAGTTTTCGCAATAGTTTCGTTACATCAAAGATGTGCTCCTTATAAAGAGAAAACCTTCCAGTTTCTGAGACCGATTTCTCAATTCTATGTTATATGTGAAAAAAAATCATATCCATTGAAACGTAAAATAAAATTGCGTCCGTCAAAAACCTTCCGCGTTATTCTGGCCTTGAGCCGTCAGTTGCAAGCTTGATGAAAGCTGGAGTGCATTTTGTATAGATCCTTCCCAACAGAAACAAGAATGGTTTACAGCTCTGCGAAAGGTGGTTTCTGATTTAATGTTATACCTTTTAAAAAGTTCCACGTGAGCGCACAGAATCAATGTCGTCTTGAGAGGCCGTCTTCTAATGGACCAAAAGAAAATGATGAAGCGAAGGCGCCAATTCTCTGAGAATATCTCAACCGTGGAAGCGGCTCTCAAAAGGATGAAGTCAGGAAAAGTAACAGGATCAGACGACATTGCAGCCAATCTGTGCTATTCGCGGTGTTGGCACTCTGCAGAATGACTGACAAACTTCCTCAATCAAGTCGTTGCTGCGCAGGAGACGTCCAAGGAATGGCAAGAGTGCGCGACGATTCCCATTTGGAAGAAGAAAAGCAGCTCTGCGGTCAGCTGGAACCACGTCCAATTCGCCTGCTGTCACACAGCACCAAGATGTTTGAGAGAATTGTTGACGGCCGCAATCGTAAAATCGTCGAACTCCCATCAATAGCTTTGTGACAGGCTGTACTACCATCGACGCCACACATTCTGCTGGAGAGGCATAGTGAGAAGCAGAAGACACTGCATACAGCTTTCCTAGACCTCAAAGAGGCATCGCGTTCCGCGTGAAGTTATGCCTTGAGACAACACTGCGTTCCCCAAGAGCTTCTGGAGTGAGAGCATAACTGTACTCAAGCTCAAAGAGCCGTGTACAAACACCGAAAGGCACTTAGGTGGAATCTCCCATTAAAGTCGGGGTAGACCGAGGCAGTGCGCTCTCCCTACCTGTGTTCGCGGTCGTCATGAATGTTACGAAATTTCCAGGAGCTCAGCCCCTGAATGCTTCTCTATGCAGGTGACGTGGTGCTTCCCAGTGAAGATATGAACGACTTCGAGCAACAGATGCGAGCTTGGTCCGATCCTCTGCTGAAGTTCCAGGTCAAACACCAAGAAACCGAGCACTAGACAACCGACTCAAATGAGTCCGATCTGTTAAGAACAGCGGTATCGAGCTCACACGACTAAGAATTTCAAGTATCTTGGATCAGAAATTGTCTGGTGGCAGCCATGCCTCAGAGATGAGCTCTGTGAGTGCAGCATAGGGTGAATGACACTCCATGACTCGAGTTCTGAAGGATAAGCCGATACTAGAGCTCTTCAAGTCGAAAATCTATAGAACTGTGATTAGACCAGTAGCGCTGCGGCTGAGTACTGGCCTGCGGCACTAGACGTTGAGGCCCACCTTAGCGTGATGGAGAGGAAAATGCTACTACGGGCAGCTGATGTTACGCGCATGGATCAGATTTGCAGCGATCAGATACGCGAGAAATCGTAGTCGTCGTAGCTCCAGTAGCAGATGAGACTCGCCTTCGTTGCTATGGCCACGTACTGCGCACGAAAGCGGATACAGTTTGTAAGACTGGACTTCACCTCGATGTGCTCGAGAAACGCCCCAAGCAACGCTGGCTTGAAATGCTGCACGTGAATCTGAAGGTAGTTGGCCCGCCCTGATCAATCAATCAGTGGGTAGAAAAGGCGTCACAAAATAAACAGCGGACCCCCCCTCAGAGTAGGAAAAGCGCTGAAGATGAGGAAAAAAAAGGAGTACTTCACTTGGGAAAAAAGGAGTACTTCACTTCACTTCCAGTATGCGGAATTCTCGGTACTGGAAAGCATCATTATTAGCTTTGAATCAAGAAACGCATGACTTTTGGCGTGAAATCGGGTCTTTGATCCCTTCAGAGTATCTTTATGCGAATGTTCGTCCTGGATTTGACTGCTGAGGACGGAAATTGATGTGCTTCGACTTGCTTCAGAAAGATTCCTTTTCCTGCTAGCTCTGCGAGAAGATCTACTGACTGGTCTGGAGTGTGCTTCATTTATGCTTCTGTTATGTTGCAGATTTTCGGAGAGGAAGCTTGTAGTACAGGAGGGCCTCCGACCCGTGTTCTGTTGTACACGATATAAGCAGCTGTATTGCAGAACAAGACGCAGCAAATTAAATTAGAAATATTGCAGCTGCCTTTTTTTTCTAGTCGCTTGGGAGGAGACCTCTATGCTCACTGTAAATTAGATGACGAAGAATGAATCAAATGAATGAATGAGTCAACTGCTGTACTGCAGTATTCGAAAATTATGGCGACCCAGTTGGATCGCTCGGGTGAGGCCGAGCTCTCCTACTTCTCATTCGCTGCCTAGTTTCGCCAGGCTCACTCCATAAGGAAAACGAATTTGTTCGTTCTCTGAGCTGGTCATATTGCGCTGTATTGATAGACCAGTAGCCTCGCCGGCTGACGCCGGCGCGGCTTCTTCGGATACGGCCCGGCTGTGCCGGGCGGGCGCGGCTTCGACGCGGCCGTATCGAGCATCAGGCCCTATCGAGCAACAACATTCCGTCCCAAACGCCTTCCTTGCCCGTCCGCCTACAAACGGACGACCGTTCCCGACGCTCGCGTTCATTCATTTGTTGAGCAAATTATGAAGCAAATGG